CATTTCAGTGGCGGAAACAGGTTTCCATTGCAGACAGCACAAAAGCATGGAAATATAATTTTCCCTCCAAGCTCAATTTTTTTTCTACTACTATGTCCACTTAGGGGCTCCATACAATTCACAAACACAACATGTTTTTTCATTTAAATAGTCAAGGCACAGGGCAGTGGAATTTAAAAAAAAAAAGTTTTGGAAAAAAAAGTTGGACTTTTTGTAACTTGAGCACTGCCTTTTTAGAACGGTAAACGCTTCAAAAGAAGCGAGTGCACAACAGTTAAACACGTCTGTTTTAATGCGTTCTGTGTGAACAAGACCAAAGAAAATGTTCTGATAGGCAGTGTTTTTGTCATTGTCGAGTCTTGCTTGATAAATGGCTTCTCACTGTAATCCTGTCAAATCATGCCTGAATTGAAGACACCTCAATTCCAACGCAATGAATCAGATCAGATGAGATGCCCTTTAAAATCACTTTATTTAAATGCAAGATTATTTCACAGTCTCCCAATGGAAAGCCAGTGCTGACTTGTTTAGGGAATAGATATTTACAAATAAATATAACAAAAAAAAAACAGTCAGTAAAATAATAGGATTAAACCAAGTGTACAGGTGTGTTCAGGTCACCTTCAGCAAGTCAACCAAATCATCATCACACACAACTATTACATTACTGACCAATACAAGCTGTTAAAATTACACCAGTGAAGATAACTACAATTTTTACATAAACCATTTTACAAGCATGATAAACTGTTCATGATAAACTTCATATCAAAATAACCAACTCAACAGAATTAACCAGTCAATTAAAACTTTGTAGCCAAATATGCAAAAAACATTACAGCAGGTAATAGCAGCAAATATTAAGTAACATTATGCCCAATGTTTTCTCCATGTTAAAACTTACAGGAGTCATACAAACAGATGATGACATCACAGGCATGGCGCAGCGTAACGTCATCAGGTTTCCTGTTTGGCCCCACCCACCTGAGAAAACAGTATTTCATAGACCTACCTATGTTGGAAATGGATCCAGTTGAATTGTTAAACATGGGTAGCATGGTATAAGCAGAACGGCTCTAATGTCTAATTAACTATTAAGAGGACATCGAAATACCACCAGAATGCAGAGCTAAAATTTTGAATCAATGTTTCATTGCGTATAGTAAATCTTGAATTTACTGAATGCATATACAACAAAATAACCATTGTGTTTGTGCGCATACAAGAGATTGGTCTGCACCAGTGTTGTGCCTTCATTTTGAGAGCTTGATACGTTGAGTTGTCGTACACGCACAAATTTAACTCTGCCCCTGTTTGTTATGTTTCCAGACCCTGCCAAAACAGGCAAATACAGTGGGCAGCCCAACCCTGTGCAGCGCCCCCTCTGGTACGGAGGAATGACAGCAGAAAGATGAGGGAAAGGAGGGAGGAAGCGTACATCATGCCTCTAACCTCCCAGCCAGACACTAGCGATACCGCAGGATCACAGGAACTGCAAAAAAAAAAAAAAAAAAAAAAAAAAAAA